CCCACTACTATTCTCATTGTATTATTTCACATAAGTTTATTTTGAGATATTTAATTATTTTTCAATGATTTTTTATGATGAAATAGTCATAAATCCCATAACTAAGGGTGTTCAATTGCATGGAGATGTGTTACAACCCTCAATGACAATAAATGATAACATTGTTCCACAACAAGGTAAGAATTATTTTGTAATAATTTTGTTTAAAAAAATAATGCCAACCCCTATAATTTAAATATGCATTGTCTCATTACATATGTAATAATCACATTAATAGGCGATAGAATTATCAGATATCTCTATTTTGTTGATTTACATCCATATGCAAGTAATTGGAGCATTAAAGCTCAATTAGTCAGGTTGTTATCTATGACTAATCGTCTTGGGAGAAATATGACATTCAGAATGATTTTTGTTGATGGGCAGGTATTTGCAACTCTTATCATGAGATAATTGTTAAATATATATATATTTTTTATATTATGTTAAAAATGTGTACTTATTACCTTTTTCAAAGGGTGATGCCATGGAAGGAACAGCATGCTCTGAGAAATATGATTATTTCAAAAAATATTTAATTGAAGGAAAAATATATTATTTTCACTACAAGAAAAAGCACTTTTAGCGACTAAATTTTTAGTCGCCAAAAGTCGACTTTTTAGTTTCCCCGACTAAATTGTTTAGTCGCCAGTTTTGTCGCGAAAAGACGGTCAGGGAAGGTATTGGCGACTAAAAAAATTTTAGTCGGCAAAAAGCAGGCCTTTAGCGGCCAAAACTTTGGTCGCCAATAGTCAATTAAATTTTTTTAAATTATACATTTACTGACTAATCTTTTAGTCGCCAATAGTCAAGGAATCGCCGACCAAACCTTTTAGTCGCCAAAAGCCCATCCGTGAAATAAAGAAAAAATATGCTCACTAGCTTTCATCCGCTGAAATTCGAATCACCAACCTCCCACCACACCCTAGACCTTAGGCAACACACTCTCTCCACTACACTTCTACAACACCATATGATTATATATGCAACATATATTATCTATATAGTATATTGACCCGTATTAATATAAAAGTATATGTATAAACATAATTATTTTTATTAAATATAATTTATGTAAAAAATAAATTATTTATTAAAAAAATTTTAGATCACTTTTGGCGACTAAAAAAATTATTTAGTCGCCAATTCTATTATTTTTGGGCTACTAATTAATTTTCCGTCGCTAAAGAAAACCATTCCGCCTAAAAACCTACCCTTTTGGCGACTAAACCTGTTTTTAGTCGCCAAAAACCTCCCCCTTTGGCTACTAAAGTGAATTTTAGTCGCCATAAACCTGTTTTTAGCTACTAATTTTTTTTTAGTAGCTAAAAAGCTTGACCTTCAACGACCAAACTGTTTTTAGTCGCCAAAACAGGTACAATCAGCGACCAAAGTGGTTTTTAGTCGCCAAAACCTTAACGTTTGGCTACCAAATGGTTTTAGTCGCCAAAAACCCTAACCTTTGGCTACTAAATTTTTTTTTGTCGCTAAAACCCCTATATTTGGCGACTAAACTGCCTTTTAGTCGCTAAAACCATTGCAATCGGCGACTAAACTCTTTTAGTCGGCAAAAGTGACCAATTTTGGCGACTAATTCCATTTTAGTAGCCAATTCTACGACTTTCAGCGACGAAAATTCCCATTTTAGTTGCCAATAGTGTTTTTTGTTGTAGTGCCCATTCTACACTATTGGTTGCCGTCAAGGGAGAGTCACTAATGAGTCCTATGGTCAATAACCAAGTACGATCCCAGATCGTCAGAGGAGTCAAATTAGCCTCCCTTCTAAGTCCTGTTTTCTTAGGCAGCGTACTACCCTTTTGACAGATCTTAAAAGGTATTGACACAAGGTCTCATAAGTAACGATAAAGTTTATATATAGAATATAAATACATAACAATCACAATATATATGACTCAACAGATGGTTCCATTACATTACATCCCCAAAGAAAGCTTAAATCTTCAAATGAGTCCTTATAAAATATCAAAAAAGAAACTTCTAATTCTTTTTTTCTAGGATAGCCAAAAGTCTTCAAAAGTTTCGGGCTCGTCGTCTCCAGCCATGAATTTCGCTTCGTTACCTGGCATGATACGCCGTGAGCTTTGAATGCCCAGTAAACACACACACACCCTAAGTCTTCAAAAGTTTCGGGCTCGTCGTCTCCAGCTATGAGTTCCTCTTCGTCACCTGGCATGATGCGCCGTGAGCTTTGAATGCCTAGTAAACGCACACACACCTCGTCCTTTTTTCCCAATCCAAAAAACATGAAATTCAAGTAATAACAAGGGTTGCAAGGTTAGTTGTTAGTAGTCTAGAAATCTCCCAAAGAGATTTCATCCTCCCAACCACAAGATTTGGACTCAAATTATTCGGTATGCTCCCCTCTTTTGCTGCTTTGTTGCAGAACTAACCTCGGATGCCTACCAACGGTTATGTACATTGTAGCGCCAACCGCAGGGCCTCAAAAGAGACGGTAAAATAGGGCCTTGCCCAAATCCCTCCTTACACCAAACCACCTAGAGTCCGAATACAACCGCTCCGTTCAAGGGTTCCAAAAACCACTTGCGCAAGACTTTAACTTTCAAATAGGGGACGCATCCCAACAATCCATATATCACATATTCTCATCTTTACATTATTCAAGTGTTCGAAAACCCAATACCCTCCCACTTAGGTTTCCCGCTAAATTAAATGTTTTAAATCAAGTTAATCCAACTTACAAGACAATAATATCCACATAGACATGCATCCATAAAGCGAGGAAGATAAATAACATAACCATAATACACATAATAACATGCCAAGATATGCTCATATGTAAGTAGGCAAATTCACGAATTCAAGGGCATAAAACATCCATACATAACACAGTTTCCGGATTTAATGTCACATGAAGATTGAGATAAAAGGACTATTTTAAATCTTCCACCAGACTCGGTCTCCCTATGGTTCGTAGAGAATTTGATCTAGTTTCTAGAACACTTTTTGAAAATGGGATTGCTTTTCCAGATTTTAAGTTATTTAGAAAATATTCCAGCACTGTCCAGAATCTGTCCAGATTCGTCGACCGTTACGAAAATTTGATTTTCTTGCAAATCGCTTGATGTTTTTCTATGAAACAAATTTTAGTTAAAAGATAACATCTTGAGGAAGGTTTTGATATAAAATAGATGTCCAGAATAATTTTTAGAATGTTTCTAGAATTTCTGGAAGTGGGGTGCAAAAACAGATTCTAGGGTACTTTGCCCAAAACAAGAAGGTTTATGAAAAAGGGGTTCCACCAAGGGAAAGTTTCATTTCTTTTGTGAAGAAAATATGCTAACTATCACATGTTTAACTCAGAATTTTTTTTTGAAAGAGTGCCCTTGAAAAGTTGAGAGATTGGTACAAAAGAAGATGGTTTTGTGCCAAAATAGGGAAAATACAAGAGAGATGGAATCAATACTCAACCCTTAGCATTTTTAACATGAGAACTCAGTAATAAAATATCTGAAAACATTATTTAGAACCCTTAGAAACATGTATTAAAAAAAAAGAAAAAATGAAAGAGGACGTTGTGTTTGTGGCTTACCTACTAAACTTTGCACAAAAAGCTCTCTTCTTCCTCCTTCTTCTCCTCTAGACTTCTCTTTCTTGCTCTCCTCCCTCTCTCTAGCCGAAATGTGTGTGTGAGTGAGTGTGTTGTGTGTGTTTGCAAGCTAGGGGGTGTGTTGGTATTCATAGACAAACCTTTGAGGCAAAAAGTCCTAAAAGTCCCTTAGTTGGATATAGATGGAAATGTTAGGATTTGTTTGAATTCTAAAGGAATGGAAGGGGTTTGGGAGGCTTGTTTATTGGTTTAGGCAACTCCTAGTTGTAATGAAACTAGTTCTTGTATTTTGCATCCTAGGTTTAGGTCACTAGGTTGTGTTTTCCTAGAAGTTCATGATGGTGTTTCTTGGGAATTTGATTTCTCTCCTTCTCCTAGGAAGGGTCGGCCATGGGGAAGGGTGAAGGACCAAATTTTTAATTATTTTATGTTCTAGGCACACTCCTCTAGGTGTATATGTATATATATATATATATATAGCATGATTGATGGTACATCAAGGTACAAGGTAGAAGTACTAGTCTGGGGCAAGTTTTGAATTTAATTAAAGGGTGGGGGCTTGGAGTTAAATACATGTAACTTATGTAGAATTAAATTAGGTTAGGTAACCTAATCTGGCTAGGGAAATTCCTGTTTTGATAAAAATAAAATAGTAATGCTAACCGACAAGATTCGAATTAATTCAAGCAACCGAGGGGCTTTAAGAAAAATAATTCAAACATTAGAGTATTCAAAGTGAATACATATTTTCGGGGGCTTCACAACCTATCCCCCTTAAAACAATTTCGTCCCCGAAATTCAACTACACATTGTCTTCAAAAAGCTCGGGGTAGTTTGCCTTCACCCAATCTTGGCGTTCTCAAGTAGATTCCTCAATTCCCCAATGACGCCATAGCACTTTTACCAAGTGAACCGTCTTGCCTCTAAGGTCCTTTTCTTGAAGATCTTGTATTGCTACCGGTCCTTCTTTAAACGTAACATCTTTGTCAAGACTGATCTCTTCCCATTTGAGGACGTGTGTCGGGTCAGCGATGTATTTACTCAACATGGATATATGGAAGACGTTGTGTATTCCTGCTAACTGCGGGGGTAGAGCTAATCTATATGCTACTTTGCCCACTCTTTCTAATACCTCAAAAGGTCCAATATATCGTGGCGACAGCTTCCCTTTTCTCCCAAAACGTACGACTCCACGCCTGGGTTGCACCTTTAGAAACACGTGGCTGTCTACTTCAAACATCAATGGTCTTCTCTTCTTGTCTGCATAATTCTTTTGTCGGTCTTAGGCAGTCTTTAACCGTTGTTGGATCAATTTGACCTTCTCAGTAGTTTCTAGAACAAGTTCGGGTCCTATCAGAATTGCATCACCCACTTCCCTCCAACAAATCGGCGATCTGCAAGGTCGTCCATATAATGCTTCAAAAGGCGCCATACAGATGCTAGCTTGAAAGCTGTTGTTATAGGCGAATTCAATTAGGGGTAGTTGTCGTTCCCAACTTTCTTGAAAATCCATTGCACAAGCTCTCAACATGTCTTCGAGTGTCTGGATTGTGCGTTCAGATTGTCCATCCGTCTGCGAGTGAAAGGTGGTGCTAAAACACAATTCAGTACCAAGAGCTTCCTGCAAGCTCCCCCAAAATCGAAAGGTGAATCGTGGATCACGATTTGACACAATAGATACCGAAATTCCATGTAGTCGAATGATCTCCCCAATGTAGAGTCTGCACATAGACTCTAAAGTGTCGGTCATCTTATAGGGTAAGAAATGCGCTGACTTGGTGAGGTGGTCCACTATTACCCATATAGGATCGCGTCCTCTAGGTGACTTAGGCAACCCTATCACAAAGTCCATTGTCACGTACTCCCACTTCTATTCGGCTATCGGTAGAGGTTGCAACATTTCCCCTGGTTTCTGATGTTCCACCTTCACTTGTTGGCAGGTCAGGCATTTTGCTACAAATTTAGCCACTTCCTTCTTCATTCCATTCCACCAATATTGCCTCTTCAAATCTTGGTACACTTTAGTCCCTCCTGGATGTACCGCGAATGCAGAATGATGACATTCCTTCAGTACCTTTTCTCTAAGTAACTCGTCACTTGGTACAAATAATCTACCTTGGTGTCTTAAACTCCCATCGGGGTGAATTACCCAATCGGGCATGGGTTCTCCTGATTCTAGACATCCCTTGATGTAGGCTACTTCTTGATCGTGCTTCTGGGCCTCCATGACTTCATTCATTAACTTAGGCATCACCTTCTGTGCACTAAGACATGCTTTTGTATCTTGAGATTCTACTTGGATCCTGAACTCATTGAGTGTCTTAACCATATCCCATTCCTTGACGGAGACCTTAGCCATCATCCCTCTACTCTTGTGACTTAGAGCATCTACTACTACATTGGCTTTACTGAGGTGATATGAGAGAGTGAACTGGAAATCCTCAAGATACTCCATCCATCGTCTCTGTCTCAAGTTAAGGTCTTTCTGTGTGAATAGATACTTCAGACTCTTGTGATCATTGAAAATCTTGAATTGTTCCCCGTACAGGTAATGTTGCCATTGCTTTAGGGCAAAAACTACAGCTGCTAACTCCAAGTCATGCGTGGGGTAGTTGCGCTTGTGAGGTTTTAACTGCTTGGATCCATACGCAACTACCTTTCCATTTTGCATGAGCACGCAACCTAATCCTTCTTTAGACGCATCGTAATACACAGTGTACCCCTCTTCTCGTTCTGGGATGGTCAAGATTGGTGCACTAGTTAACCTCTTCTTTAGCTCTTGGAAGGATTTTTCGCAAGCTTCGTCCCACTCGTACTTTACTCCTTTTTGCGTCAAACGAGTCATTGGTTTAGTTAGTTTGGAGAAATCTTGGAGGAATCTCCGGTAATAGCCGGCCAATCCTAAGAAGCTGCGGATTTCTGACACGGTCTTGGGTTACCTCCAATCTAATACTGCCTCCACCTTGGTTGGATCCACCGCAAACCCATTCTTTGATACCACATGCCCTAAGAACTTTACTTCATTCAACCAGAACTCACATTTACTCGCCTTGGCATATAACCGATTATCCCTAAGAACTTGAAGGACAGTCCTTAAATGTTGCTCATGCTCTTCTTTAGACCTTGAATATACCAAGATGTCATCAATGAATACTACTACAAACTGGTCAAGGTATGGTCTAAAAATCTTATTCATTAGGCTCATGAATACTGCCGGTGCATTGGTTAGTCCGAAGGGCATTACTACAAACTCATAGTGGCCATATCTAGTACGAAAGGCAGTCTTTGGTATATCCTCCTCCTTGACTCGTAGTTGATGGTAACTTGAACTGAGATCGATCTTTGAATAGCACCTTGAGCCTCTAAGTTGGTCAAAAAGGTCATCAATCCTTGGGAGTGGGTATCGGTTCTTAATCGTGATTCGATTGAGTTGACAATAATCGATGCATAGCCTCAACGATCCATCCTTCTTTTTAGCAAACAACACGGGTGCTCCCCATGGCGAAGTGCTTGGCCTAATGAATCCTTTCTCGAGCAATTCCTGTAGCTGTGTCTTTAATTCTCGTAGTTCTGCTAGTGCTATGCGATACGGGGCCATGGATATCGGGGTAGTTCCAGGCTATAGCTCGATGCTAAAGTCTACTTCCTGGGTTGGCAGCAATCCTAGTAATTCCGTAGGAAATACATCTGCATAATTGCATACTACGCACGGAAGTTCTATTTCTCCTTGGTCTTCCTCATTTAGAATCAGGCTTGCTATCCTACTCGCAAGTTGATCGCGCCACTGCGTCCGATGTTTTGTTGAAACCATGGAGTCATGTCTATCCCCCTTAAACTGGAAACGTGTTCCATCTTGCGTATGAGCTACCACTTTCTTCTGACGACAGTCGATCACCGCTTGGTGGGCGGACAACCAGTCCATGCCCAAAATAATATCGAAGTCCGACATTTTCATGACACAAAGGTCGCAAGTTAAGCATAGGTCCGACATCCCTATCTTACAGTCCTTACAGATCGATCCTATCCGAACGCATCCTCCCATAGGTGACATTACACTTAAGGCAGTTGCTAAAGGTTCACATACAAGTTCTAATGACTTAGCACAAGCAGAGGATATGAAAGAATGTGATACACCGGTATCAAATAAAACATGCACCCAAGAATTGTATAGTACTAAATTACCCACAATTACGGACGGGTTTGCTTCTTCCTCTTGCACGGCAAAGATTCTGCCGGTTGCCTTTTGGTTGCCACTAGTCTTGGTGTTCTGAGTTCCTCCACTCTTCTGGTGCTGCTGCCTGGTAGATCCTGTCTTATTTGTCCACGGCTTCTGCCCACCTAACGCTTGGGCATTTGCTCCGGAACCTCCTCCTTGGTATCCTAATGGAGGGAGTTGGGGGCATTCACTCTTTTTGTGCTCTAATTGTTGGCAATGAAAGCACTAGATTTGTCCCACCGGCCTTTGTTAATAGCCTTCTCTCTGGATCTGTTGCTGCGGTTGTTGTCGTTGTTGTTGTGGTTGTGGTCTGGAGTAGGGCTTTGAGGTCACACTTCCTCTCTGGTTCCTCTGAGGTCCAATAGATGCCTGACTCCCTTTTCTCTTGTTCCAAGCTTTCCTGGCGTCGTTTATTTCCCTTTTAGATTCTAATGCCGTTTCCAGCACCTCGACATATGAGGGGAGTCGTTGCGGAAGGACTCTACCCCTGATTGTAAGGTCCAGTCCCCACTCGAACATCCTTGCTTTTTCTTCATCATTTGCTACGATTCTGGTTGCGTAACGGGCTAGCTCTTCAAATCTTACAACATACTGGGCCACGGTCATATTCCTTTGTTCTAGGTTTTGGAATTCCTTGACTCGTTCTCGATGGATAGTACTTGGGAAATATTTATTTAGGAATAGTTCCCTGAACTGGTTCCATGATAGGCTCGCTATGTCACGAGTATTCTTGATTAACTTCCAGCAATGGTCAGCCTCATCATCAAGCTCGAATACTGCCGGAGCTATTCTATCAGCGGCCTTGGTTATGCCCATGGTGTCTAGCATTTTCTCTATCTGTCGGAGCCAATTTTCAGCTACCTTCAAGCTCGGTACGCCTGTGAACTTTAGGGGCCTCTGCTTCCGAAACTCAGAAAAGAGCCGAGTCCTCTCATTCTGCCGATTGTTCCTTATTTTCCCTAGTTCCTCCAAAATTTGATGACCTAGGTTATTGGGGATGTTAGCTTCTGCGAGGATGGGTCCGTGTTGATTTCTGGGACGGTTTCATACATTGTTGCTGGTTTTGGTATAGCCATTAGCTCGCGTGTCCACCATTCTGTTCATGGCATGTGATGAGTTGGTTTCTAGTCTTAAAAAATATTATTACTTAGATTTGAAATAAAGGTTCAGTTTTCTTAGGGTACACTAAAGCAAGTAACAGTCAATAAAATAGATTAACACAGCATTCATTTATTATAATAGGCATCATTACAAAAGGGCTCCTATATCGGAGTTACATTCAAAAGCATCTATGCATTATAAAGTTCAGGTTATCTTATCCTACGGATCTCCATCAGTCGGTCTTACAAAAGTCTAGTTTTACTATCCCTCGATTTAGTCCTCGTTTCCCGACCAATCAAAGTCTTCTTCTGGGTCTTCATCAGCGGAGTCGGTGCCTTGTCCCAGAGAGTGGGGGGTGTACATTGGTGAGAGGGGATTGTGTTCAGATGATATCTCTATAGGGTAGGCTGGGTTCGCTCCTTGCTGTTCTGGTGGCTGCTCCATATCCATCGGTTGATTGTCGCCTGGCCCATGATAACAAGATTCGTGGCTTTCAGCCTGAGTCGGTGCTATGGTGGTCAAAGCTCGGTGTATCAAGGAGTCCATCCTCTGTTCATCTTGCTCCATTCAGACTGCCTTCTTTGCTGCCCGGCTCAGAAATTGTAAGCGGCGCCGCACCAAAGACCTATTTTGCGCCCTCATATGGCTGGTGTACTTCGTCTCCACCTTGCGTATCTCCGCTTTCATCATTTCCTCTGCAGTGATTTCATAGCGTCGACGGCTAAAGTAGGGGCTGACGGACATGGCCCTGCTTCCTTGAATAAGGAAAACACCCCACGAGTCGGTACTGATGTAGCCTCCCGATGACATCCTAAGGTGGAAAAGATTTTTTTATTAGTCAATCTTCTTATAATAGTGTGATAGAATAAAATAAGACAAGGGGTAAGGGCATCTAGAGTCGCGTATAGGGTTGCGAGGGTTAAGGGTTGAACCTAGGCTCTGATACCAAGTTGTGACGCCCCGATTCTACACTATTGGTTGCAATCAAGGGAGAGTCACTAATGAGTCCTATGGTCAATAACCAAGTAAGATCCCAGATCGCCGGAGGAGTCAAATTAGCCTCCCTTCTAAGTCCAGCTTTCTTAGGCAGCGCACTACCCTTTTGGCAGATCTTAAAAGGTATTGACACAAGGTCTCATAAGCAACGATAAGGTTCAAACATAGAATACAAATACATAACAACCACAATATGTATATAATTCAAAAGATGGTTCCAGTACATTACATCCCAAAAGAAAGCTTAAGTCTACAAATGAGTCTTTACAAAATATCCAAAAAGAAACTTCTAATTTTTCTAGGATAGGCAAAAGTCTTCAAAAGTTTCAGGCTCGTCGTCTCCAACTATGAGTTCCGCTTCGTCACCTGGCATGATACGCCGTGAGCTTTGAATGCCCAGTAAACACACACACACACCCTACCCCTTTTTCCCAGTCCAATACACAACAACAAAATGAAGGAGATATGCCTAATTGAAGTTGAGGCCAGAAACCAGTTTTTGCTTTCCAGCCACTAATGAAGCTTGTCGGCCATGTGTCGTCCAATAGTGGTTTTTTTCATCCACCACTGGTGGCAGTCGGCCATCAGTGATGGCCGGTTGGCCACAAGTGTCCAAAAAGCTCAAATTTTGTAGATATTTCCCCTCCAGCTGTTCTACACTGCCCCAGATATTTTTACCTTGATATTTTTTACCTGAAGCCACATTTTTCTATATATAGAGGGCCTTCTCTATTGTTTTCAAGGATAGAAAGATTTGGGAGCCTCTCTCTAGATTTCTCTCTCTCCCTTGCCCTTTTGTGCATACAAGTAGAAATACACTTCTAGTTTGCCTATCAACCCTTAACCAAAGTTACTTATCTTTGGGATGAGATTCCTTAGGACTTTCTTTGAGCTTTAGAAGGTGATTTTTAGCTTGATTTGGTGCCTCATTTGTGCCTAAAGTGTGTTGTGCTTCAAGAGGTATAAGACTCACCTTTTAAACTTGTTTTGCATAACTTGTTTCACCATCTTTTTGTACTGTTTTTGGTCTGGTTTTCAACTACAAA